CAAGTAGTTGTAAAAATCTTATGGTTCTAAGGGACTGTATAATTTTGATATTCATTTTGGCATGGCTAGTAAATACCTGCCTGAACTTGAGCAAGATACTAGAGAGTTCTGGGCCTTACTTTCTCATAAGTGATAGCAATTGCCTGATGAATTAGAAGATCTCTAAATTCCTTCTATCCGTAATTTCTCAATTATTAATGAAACTTCCGAGAAATGGCTTCTTTTATATTTTTCATCAGGATTATACATGTCTTCATTAAACAAATGTTTATAGTTCCCTGTAGATTCACGAGATCTTCTCCCATTAAGTATCCAGAGAAATGTGACAGAATTCCCCAATTTTTATTTATGAATTTTAAAGCTAACATATAGTTCACATGTCACGTGCCTAATTTTGGCTTTGACATTCTTCTGCCGTCACAGAAAAAAAAAGTATATCCAAAAATACACCAAAAATAAATAATAATTATTTAGCACAAAATGTTAATAGAAAACCCAGCACAAGCCACAATTAAACACAATTATTATGTTTTTAAAAGTGAATTGAAAATGCTTCTATGTTGCCAGGAAGGAGGAAGAATCCTTGTTATTGGCACCAAAAAGGAGACAGACTAGAAGACATTTCTCCCTGTTCCTCATATCTCGACAAGGCTTGAATTTCTTTTTAGAATCTGGCAGAAATTGAGGAATGTTTAAACCTCACTTATTGCTGGGAAGTGGACTCTAGCTTTTAAAAATGTTTATATTTATAGTTATGTGTTCTGGTACCTCTGCTTCTATCTAACTACAGAGCTTACTGCTCACTAAATTTCATTTTCATTAGTGGTATTCTATACTATTCTTGTGCCATGATGAATTTTAATTTTTAATAGTAAAGAAGGTAAAAAAACCTCAAGATTAGTCTAGTCCCTAATGTTTGTTAGATGAGAATGTTTATCTGAAAGCTGTATTTCAAAACCACAGTTGAAACTGATTTATTAAAATTTTGACAACTGATGAGTATAAGGTTCAAGATGTTCTATTTTGATGTATCTCATCCCACCTTATTCATTTATCTAGTCCTTCATTCGTTCACTCATTCACTTATAGAAGCAAGCATGTTTCTTAAACATCGGGACCAGTGAACACAGGACTGCTGACGGAGGCACTGAGACTGTGTCTATGGGGCTCAGGACTGAATCAGACCCAAGACTCACCTGGGACCCAGGAGTTGCACCAATATTCATCTGGGCATTTTTTTCAGGATTTTGAGCAGCAGTCTGCTCGGGCCAAATTGAGATGAATTATAGTTTGATCAGCCAGAGCTGGGTAGACCTAAGAAGTAGTTACAGACTTACATAGTTACTGTTTTATCAGCCTCATCGCAACTTTTTTCTCAAAGTCTTCAAAGATCAGTTTTATTAGAGTGGGTGAAACACGGACTTCTCACCTGCAGTTGGACTGCCTGGATTGGCACCTTGGCTTCACTGCTTCGCCAGGACTAGCTCTGTGACCTTGGGCCCATGTCTCTAAGCATCAGTTTGCTCATCTGCAGAGCGGGGACAGTATTACTGCTTACCTCATAGGCTTGTTAAGAAGAGTCATTGCAATAATGATGGTAAAGCATTAAACTACTGACTTACTACTCAAATTGTTAAGAATGAAGAAGTCGTTTATGTAAAGAAGTCAACTCTCAGGATTTCAGTGAAGCAGAACCAAAGAGATCTTTGAACTATCCAATTCATCCCCATTATCAGTTGTGCCCGATTCCCTCCCTTTCGTCCTTCTCCCCCTTGCTCTGTGTCCCAGGGGGCCGACCCGTATGGACGTCAATGGGCTCTTCTGCCCTCTGGTTTCCAGTTGCTTTCAGCTTGAGGGGAGCAGCTGAAGGAGGTAGAAGGGAGGAAGACGGTCAGGCACTGATTTTCCTGGCTCCCTCCCTGCAGGCTCTGCAAAGTCTAACCATGTTTCCTTACATGGAGATCACATTTCCCTGCAGGGAGCCCCCTCCACACACAGCGCTCTCTAGTTCCACTGCCACCAACCGCTCACTCACCGTGCCTCTTCAGGTCAATGACAGTGCTGGGTCTGGATACTACACTCCCTGTTGGAGTTCCGGGCCTCTCTGCTCACACCTTTGTATCAAGTGTTTTGTTTTGTTTTTTAATCAAACTCTTCTCAGATTGACTGTGCTGTTTCCTGACAGTCGAGCTGAAATACCAGGTGTGTATTACTAAGATGGTGTCCATGTGAGGTCTGAACAACAGCTTTCAGGGAGAGATGGAGAAAGGGAGAGAGAATGATTCCAACAGTACTGGGAGCACACAAACCAAACATGGATAATTCTTTCCCTGGACTGGCATGTACTTTGGCTGAGATGGTCAAATTGAACCATCATTTTTTTTTGAACTGTCTTGATATGATAGAGACTCTCAGTGGCATTTATTTTCTCATTTTATGCCTAGTTCAGCATTTTAAATACAGCTTTATTGGGGGAATACGTTGCTCAGTGGAACTTGGGATTTTCTCATAATTCATAATGGTCTTGGTCATTTTTCTCCAAATGGTTACTCAGCCATTGGCTGTGTTGCTTCTGTTCTTGGGACACAGTACATGACGCAGTGCCAGACACATCAGGCTCTCAGCCAATATATTGCATGAATGTATAATCAACTTTAAAGGGATTATATCATAATATACCTGGTTCCTTAATTTACGTAAACTGTGTACTGAGCAGCATTCTAGTGACTATTCTGGACATTTCATGTATGTGGAACCATGCAGTATGTAGTAGCCTTTCTGGTCTGGCTTCTTTCATTTAGCATGAAGTTTTCAAGGTTCATTCATGTTGTAGTACATATCAGTATTTCATTCCTTTTTTGTGGCTGAACAATAATACTCCATTCTGTAGACAAAAACCACATTTTGTTTATCCATTCATCAACTGATGGACATTTGGATCGATTACACTTTTTGGTAGCACAAATAAAGCTCTTATTAACATCTGAGTACAAGTTTTTGTGTAGGCGTGTTTTCAGTTCTCTTGGGTATACACCTGTGAGTGGAAATGATAACTCTATATAATTTTTTAAGGATACACCAAACTGTTTTTCAAACTGATTGCACCATTTTACATTCATTCTTATCAACAATGTATGAAGGTTTCAATCTCTCCATATCCTAGCTGATAAATTTATCTTTTTCATTTTAGCTATCCTAATGAATTGGTATTTCCCTGTGGTTTAATCTGCACTTCCCTAATGACTAATGGTTTTGAGCATCTTTTCATATGCCATTTGTGTATCTTTCTTGGAGAACATATATTCAGATCCCTTGCACACTTTCAATTAGGCTATTTGTTTATTATTGAGTTGTAAGAGATCTATATACTCTGGCTACAAGTCTCTTATCAGATATATAATTTGCAAATATTTTCTCCCATTCTATGAGTTATCTTTTTGTTCTTCATGTTGTTCTTGGAAGCACAAAAGGTTTTCATTTTGATGAGACACAATTTATCCTTTTTTGTTGTTGCTCATGCTTTTGGGCGTCTTCTTGAAAAAACCATCACCTAATCCAAGATCATGAAGATTTATTCCTATGTTTTCTTCTAAAATTTTATAATTTTAGCTTACTTTTAGGTCTGTGATCTATTTGGAATTATTTTTGCATATGGTGTAAGGTAGGGGTCCAACTTCATTCTTCTGGTTGTGGATATTCTATTGTTCCAGGGTCATTTGCTAGAAAGTTGATTCTTTCCCCATTGAATTGTCTTGGCATTCTTGTTAAAAATCAATTGACCACAAATGTAAGGATTTTTGTTGGCTATCTGGGTTCCTTGTATTTCCATAAGAATTTTAGGATCAGCTTGTCAATTTCTGCAGAAAAGTCACCTGAGATTTGGATAGGAATTGCAATGGAGCTGTAGGTCAATCTGGGAAGTATTGCCATCTTAACAATATCAATTCTCCCACTCCATTATCATGGGATGTCTTCTCATTATTTAGATGTTTTAAACTTTCTTTCAATGGTATGTTGTAGTTTGCCATGTGTAAGTCTAGCACTTATTTTGCTAAACTTATTCCTAAGCATTTTATTCTTTCTGATGTTTTTGCTGGTGTTTAGATGTACAACTGATTCTGGTATATCAATCCTGTATCCTGCAACCTTGCTGAATTTGTTCTTAATACTTTTTTGACCTGTAGCTTTACCCTGTGGGTTCTGCTGCAAAATATTAAAAAAAAAAAACCCAAGGTACTAATAATCCTCTTTTAATGCTTTAGAGTAATGAAATAATTTAAATTTCATTTTAATTGATATCCCAATTCAAACCCAAATTATTTGGACTAAATTATTGCTTTTTTCTTCCAAAATTACTGGTTAGAACATTGCATATTCTAGTGCAAAAATAAAACATCTATTTTTCCTAAAATGAGAAAATGTGTTTTGTCTTAGTTTTTACCTACTCTGATATATGAATGATATTTATTCAATTTCTCTGTTCAGTAATGGTTGACAGTAGATTTATTTTATGCAATAAGTAGAAGCGGGGAGCAAAAACTATGCTACCTTATTTAGTCATAGCTACTTATTTCGCTTTTACACTCAGATCACTGTTCAAAAACCACCAATAATCAACGTCTGTTCATTGTTAAGTCATGAGTAGCAGCTGTAGGGGTCTTTCTCTCCCTGATAGGATGGAACTATGAGTAGGAAGCATGTGTGTTTGAAATGTGAATATACAAAATACTGGATGGAAATCTTGGATTATATGTCACCCCTAGATCATCACTGGTTGTCCCTTAGATTCACTAGATCAAATAGATTTTTCTGGGTGGTTTTTGGTCAGTTCCCTGACATAACTGAGTATCTTTTATTTGGGTACTAAGCATAAAATTTTCTTGGCATTCAGATACAAGAGAAAAGCCTTAGCATTAGGGAGAAAAAAAAGTTGTTAAAAAACCCCCCCCAAAAGTGTCTTGAATGAATTACAAAAAGATGCAAAAAGCAAGCTACAACACTTAACAGAGACTTGACATTTATTGTGCAATTTTCTCTCCAACAGAACATGTGGCATTCTAGAGGTATATGAGGTAATAAAATCAATACTCCAATTAGAACACCTGAAATAATTGGCTCTAGTAACAAATGTTTCTTATAATTAAAAATATTGAATGTTTAAAAAACTCTTATAACATTTTAAGTTCCTAAAAGAAATGTGCCTAACACTTAAAAAACAACTTACTCTTCTATATAAATTGTTCACAAAAATCTTGCTATTCTATATTACACTATGCATTTATAGTTTTATTAACATGTCCCTAGTGGGCATTAACTCTACACAATACAATCAAATAGAAATTATTCATAGAGAATCAACAAGACTTCAACAATAAAAATATTAAGATCAATGGATTTGTCACAGTTTCTCCACAAGTTTTTATCATAGAAAATAGAGTAAAGGCAAGTTGGCCCCAGTGTTAGGCTGCTACACAAAGTTCCAGAGAAGAAACACACAAAGGCGATGCTTCAATGTTGGCAGGGTTGAGCTGGACCAGTGACTCCTCTCATGGTCTGGCATGCCCTGTTCCCTAGAAACAAAGCCAGGCCCTAAAGGCATGGCAAGCTCTTGAACTTAAATGCAGCCAGAGATGTTAAAGCCAAAACTACAGGAAAGAATCAACAGATTACTGTATTTTCCTACAAAATCTTCACAACAGTTCTCACAGTGACATCATGGATTAAACCCTCTCTTCCAAACCAGACTCATCAGTTCTAAGGCTACGAATACAACAGACGTGAAAAGTGAATGGGCATTGGCTAACTGATGCCCGGAGCCATTCTAACATCTCTGTTCCCGAAGAACATCGCTTCACTGAGCTTAAAGTTTTGCTTTTATATCCCTGTATTTTTGTACTGCTGGGAACCCGTGAAATAAATGTGAACAAATTGGTAATTTTAATTTTCTCGCTACTTTAGTTAAACAACAAATTTGTTCCAAAGTGTTGATGGGGTTTTGAGAACCTTGGCTACAGGGGAAAACTGAACTAGTCATTCTGCTTACTAAACCCAAAGATTTCCTCTTATTGGCCAAGTACTTTGGGCAGTGTCCTTAACAATAAAACGAGGCTAGTAACAGCCCAGAGAGTGGCTGTGAGGACTAAAATGAGAAGATGCATTAAAGTGCTTAGCAAAGTACCTGGCACTCAAGGACTCAGTGAATATAAGCTGCAGCCACTGTTATTGTCAGTGGTTTGGGATGGGCCTAAATAGATTTCCAGGGTGGACAAGGCTCAATGGGCTACTTGTACTGGGGCAATTATTCTGAGAATGAAAAGGCTTTTGAATAAGTCCTCTTAGCAGATGTATTTTCATTGTAATTTGGGGACCTGTGATTCAATGAAAACCTAGCCCTTATGTTATCAGCTATATAGTCATGAGGAAAATTAATCTGGCTAGTTTCACCATGTAGACTTAATAATTTAGTGCTTTCAATAGTTGAGCTGACTGAGCAAGCAGGTCATTAGATGAGTGAAGTCCAGTCCTCTCAATGTTTCTTGCAACTGAATGTACCACGGAGGGTTAAAGTGGCTTCTAATGTATAAATTTATCTATTACAGTCGAATTTTACATATTAAGAGACAAGTATTCGTGGGTTGTTTTTGCACTCCATGTTGTCTGATATCAATTCTTCACCTTCCTCTAAAAAACAACACAAATAGAAGAACCAATGCCACTGGCTGATTATGCAAATAACTTTTTGGATGGCCATCAACTGGGTGACATTCTCCTACACTATTCTGAGTGAAATGGTTATTTTTATCTAGTACTTACACAACTGAAAGCAGCCATCACTATGTTTACAAAAATATGTCATAACGATACATACTGCTGTTTAGACACATTCACACGAGAGTTCTGACTCAAGCATTCTATTTGACATGTTTTGCCAAGCAGTTTTGGCAAGTGTCACTGCATTAAACATACTCCGGCAAGACTTGCACCGTATGTGCAAAATCATTTCTATTACATTCCTAAAAACTGGTATATAGGAGCTGTCAAAAATTACAAGGATCTGTACTATGAAATGCCACAGCACTGAATGAGAAATGTTGTATGTTTAAATCTTTTGTAAAAACGAAGTTATCCAAGAATGAGACTTTTTTAAATGATTGAAACCTAAGAAAAAACGAAGGACATAGTGGGCATTAGGTTTAGGTTTTAGAGCACATACTGAATGACAGTTGTAACTGAGGGCAATGTATGTTCGCTCTTCTGGAAGTAAGAGTGCATATCTCACCCAACCTGATGCTCCGTCCATTCTCTGGTAGCAACAGAAGGGAGGGCAAGCCATTAACAGTGGCAGAAAATGTAGAAATCATGGGCCTGTAGATTCCCAAGTTTGTCTTCTTGTCTAGATTTTGGAAAAATGTCTGCCATTACAAGAATAATTTACTGGATTTAGAAAAACCATTCTATTGATATCAGACACATGGAGGGATTGGATCAAATAACCTATTATAGTAATTTATATCTCCTTACAATCCCGATGAAGAAATCTTTTAGGTCAATGTATTCATGGCTGAAGAAGGGCTGAGAAAGCTCCAGAATATAAAATCACGCACTTGCTCTACAGCTGTGAAGCAGCCACATGTATAACGTAGCCTTCAATTTCCCCACCCAAGAGGATGACGATTTCCTGCAAATGCTCTAATATCCGCTCCCTTCCTCGGGAAGCCTTATGAAACGCAAATGTGACAGTGACCTGAGGAAACGAGGAACACCGAGAGAATGATGCCCAGGTTCAAGGACTGAGTGAAGTATTTTCAAGAAAGTTTTTCTCCATAACATTTAACACTGAGGTTAAACCATGAGATTGTGAACGGTGGACCTTCAAAAGAGACCTTGAGAAACGTGACCTTAGCAACTGCTCGCAGAATATGGTCCCCTCCCCAGGTACCTGGTCTACGTCCTCAAAAACAGATCACCCTTAATGGTTATCCTGAGCCCAGTGGAATGGCACCTGGGGTTTAGTTCACTGGGAAAGCAGGCATGCTCTCTGTGATGTGGTTTTCCTATGGGAAAACTCAGGACAAATCAAGACTCAGTCATTGTGGGTAGGTATGGACACTCGTGATAGCTGGGATCATGGGCCACACCCAGTCACTGGCAAAAATACCAGATTTGGTGTGTGGTGGCAGGCCAGCCCTACGACCTCTTCCCTGGCCAACGAGGTGGAGCACAGCTGCATGCTGAGCTGTTTTAGTTCAGTCTTTTACAGCAATGCTAAGATGGCTCAAGAAAGATGCTAAAAGCTGCCATGAGTGTTAAGTGTCTCGTGATGAGAGCAATCTGTCCAACTGTCAAAGATGCAGAAAATCAAATGAAGAAAACATGCAACATCTTCAGGTCTCCAAAGAGATCAGCTGAAAGGCTGACAGAGCAGTGACAGTGTTCAGTTGTCTCAGTGGTGAGCTTCTAACCTTGTTACAGAGGTTGTAATGGTCTTAACCAAAAAAATAAGTGAACAATCTTTGCAAGCCCTAACTTAAAAATCAGATGACCACGCAGACAACCACCATGAACTAGGTAATACGCCAGCCCTAAAGCTGAAACACAAATGGCAGTGTGGGACGTAGACTAAGGAGAGGAGACAGCAAAATACTGAAGCAGGTGCCATGTCACAGCCCAAGTGGCCGTTAGTGTCTGGGTCAGGCGGTGGGCTCGGCTAAAGGACACAGCAACGACACCAATGGTGTAATGGAACACCTGACTGGGGGTAGGGGATCGTAGGTCCTAGACCCCGGAGAGGCATGAGAACTGGCCGTGCGATGCTGAGTCAGTCATTTTTCTGGGCCTTGCTCACATGCATATGAGATGGCCAACGTTTCAGAATTTGTGAAGTATTGGCAAACAGCTGATAAATGATTCACCTGGAATGAAGGTGAGAGGAAGACCAGGTGTGCCTCTGGAGCAAAGGTTGTGTGCAACCACATGGCTTGAGAGGCCGGGCCTCCCCACCCCAGCGGCCTTTGTAGGCGATGCTGACAGGAGCGGGGGAATCACCTGATCTCTGAGCACGCCAACCTGTCCGGCCACAGAGACCGAGTGCGGACATGCTCTCACCGCCACCCCAGCGAAGACCACAACGACACGGAGATGTGAGGACGTGTGGAATTCTCAAACTGGCAGGAAAACGGTAAGAACTGAAAGTTTGTTTTTTTAAGGCAGTGGTCAAATATGGCTGCTACAGAAAAAAAAGACATTGTACTCAGCAGTAAGGCAACTAAAGCGCAATGCAAAGAAAGACAAAGTAAGATGGAGAGACAGATGAGACTATGGTGGTATTTTTCTTCTGACCACGATTTCCTGTCACCAAAAATCTTGTGAGATACTGACTTTCTAGACCTTGAAAACTCCACAGGAAGAATCTTTTCTCCTTGGAGAGTCAAAGACATTCGTTGCACCGCTCCCACAAGCTACATCGCATTTGCCCTTATCATCTCTTTTACTTGCAAATTTTAGCTAACTTACCCCAGGACTGAAATACTAGAATTTCCCCCACATCATTTAACAGACCATGACCATCTCCATAAACAAACTTTTCAACAGGTGAAACTAAATCATAACAAAAGCTAAAGAAGGACCTGTTCCTAGGGTCATGCAAGGAGTTGGTGCTAATTATAGACCATAAAGGGTAATTTATTATTTCATTTTGTCAAAAAGTGGCAAAAAAAAAAACACACCCTCTTTATGAATGGACGCTCATAAACTTGAAATGAAGTTGCAACCCATTTTCAAAACCTTTAGTCCTGTTTGTAGATGACATAAGCAGCCTTCAATCAAGGCTGCCCACCGAGCCCCCTCTGCTGTACAAAGCATGCAGCAATCTTGGTTAGGGCGACAAAGGAAGTCTCCCCTATCCAAACCTGACGTCCTTAGAAATAGATTTGAGCAACTCTAGAGCAAATGTTGGTAAGAAATGGTTCCAAAGACATTACTACTAACTTCACAGATGGAGGTCAACAAGTGAAACTGGGGAAAGTGGGTGGGAGCGGTTCAGCGCTAACTCAGCCAGAGCCAGCCACTCAGAGGATTGGCAGCAAGGAGGCACGCAACGGTTGGGATGAGACATTTCCATCGGTGACAACGAGAAACAAGATTTATGCAAATTCTGAAGATCAACTCAGCACAAAAAGACCCTCCAATTTCAGAGAAATTACAGACAAGCCCATTGCATAGTTGTCAGAATGGCCTTGAAGCTGTGTGTATACAATTCCGGAACATCTGGTCAATTCAGTGAATACCATCAGTCACACTACTTGTTTGGTCCTCAGTGCACCAAACAAATGACTGAAATTCTCATTGTTCAAACCATCACTTTGGCATTGCGTCAACAAAGCCCGATTTAAGGCTGTGGGAACTGTGGATCTATGAACCTACAAAACCGAGCATTTGAAAACACTTTTGGATCTTTGGATGTTTCTTGACTGACACAGTGAAAACTATTTGTTTGTCAACTCCAGAGATCATAGAGTGCCTTTCTGATCAACACGGTAGTTTTTTTTGTAAAACTAACAGAAAAACAGCTGACTTCCAATTAATCACTGTCTAGAGGTGGCCTCTGTTCTCTGATTTTTTTAATAATAGGCTCTGTCATTGGAGACACAGCACATGATGTCACCTAGCCCATGTCTTCACTGAGAAGTATAAATTCAAGTCTTTGGAAAATAAAGACAACTTATCTGAACTGAAATAAGAGAATGCTTGTTCCTTGTCCCTTAAGATAATGCCGTGTCTCTACCTTCTCCCGTGGGCAGGACACTAACCCAATGCTCCGTGGAGACCAGCTCTGCTCAGGAGGTAGAGCTTACTTGAAGATTTCAAACAGGTGACCAGGAGCTCACCTAACTTTTTTCATCCTCACTGTCTAATTAATAATCATTTAAAACCAACTGTAGTTTTTTCTTTTTGTAATATAGTATTCTGAAAATCTCTGTGGGCTCCACAGACTTCCCAAACAACCCTAAAATGGATTTCTATTTGGGAATTACGGAAGTTAAGTCAAGAGAGTTAAGGTTTAGGATGTGTAAAGTCTGACAGAATGACATGCTTTGGATTCTAAAGTGATGGTAACAGGACATTCACAATTGGAACTCTTGAGAGAACCGGCTGCTAGTGTGGACAGGCTTTTGTCCACTAATCACCAGACCCATCCTGGGAATTTTTATTGAAGACTTCATCCTGGGAAGCCTGGTGATCAATCCCTTCATAAAATGAGCCACCGTTGTGCAGGAAAGTCCCCACTGCCCGCCCCTGCCGGGCATGACCCACAGCGTCGCTGAACACTTTGTTTATCTGTTCCTCTGAGGGCATCCACCAGTCGGGGTTGGAGGTACAGTGCATCCTAATGAATTCTGTGGGAATATACACAACAGTTAAAAAAAAAAAAAGAGAGAGAAAGAAACACAGCTGGTTTTTGCAGAAGATGATAGGAAGGCTGCTTAAACTTTAACAGAAGCTCTGTAAGAAAAGCTTTATGGGACATCCAATGCAATGCCATGATGATGCCACTCATTACACCCAACCTGCACCATATACCGTTTCTACTCACGTGCAAACGTAAAACATCACGTGAGAGGGTGATCCTTCTAAGGCAAGTTTGCGATGAAAGATAAACTTGATTTGCAAGACCTGATATGCACCATGCTTGGTCAAAGTTATAGAGTACGTTTCAAAACCTTGTTGTTACATGCTCACTTTGTTAGAATGTCAACGATCTCCAGAAGCACAGCAAATATCATTAGCATGGGACTCTTTAACCCACTATTCATTTGTAGATTAAGTGCAATAAAATAAAATCTCAACGAGTAAGAAACTGCCGAGGCTGTAGTTCAGAAGCGGTTTCCACATTCTTAAAATGTTACAATTACAGGCTATATATTTTTTTCTAATTGTAGTATCTGCACATGTAGTGACAAATATTTTTTTGAATGAGATTTCCTCTAAATATTTAATTTGCCTGGAAGCCTGGAAACATGCCATTAGCATGCCTGGAAGAGTAAAAATATGAAAAGTAGCTAGGAGTCCAGTGAAACAAACTTGGCCTCCCTTGGGCTGAGCTCAGATTAACCCTTCCTCTTTTCTCAGGGCACATATGTAATTCCTACACAGCTAATTTAATATGGACATCTGTAAACTCAAATGAGCATTTTGGAAAGAGTTCTAAGTCAAACTGTGTTTTTTTTGCACAGTTGATTGGAAGTTCAAGGTGACTGCTATTTACAGGTCGTTTCTTCTCCAGCACCGCTCCCTCTACAAGACAATGCTTCTGGTTCTAGGACTGGATTTGTCTAATATTTCTTTGTGAAATCCCAGCCCTATTTGCTCTTTGAAGCTGATGCTTTCAAGTACCTGGACCAGAAAAACCTCATGACCTGAACTGTGCCCATCTCGGCAGAGCCTGGCTTCGCAGAGAAGCAGGGCATCACCAGGTCTGTCCATGCCCCCTTTAACTTTGTGCCTGAGTCCCGGCCCTGGTGGCCCTCCTTGTGGAAAGAACTATATTTATGCAGCTCCTCACCCTGAAAACTGTCAGAAACCAGGTGACTTATCCTGGGATGCAGCCTAGGAAACAATGCAGGCTAATTCTCAAACCTCGGTCACGGTCATTATAATGCTGAGCAGATAGAAAGAAGGTATTCTGGGACCACTAAGGCTCAAATATTTAGTCCTTTCCCGGTGATTTTTCTAGTGTTCACACCTATTCACAACTGTCCTCAAATCATTTCCAGCCAGACTATCAGCTCCAGAAGTCAGGGACCCTGTTTTCTATTCCTCTCTGTCCTTCTTCAAGTCCCTAAGCCTCAAGTATTCAGTAAGTATTCAACACCTGTTTAAGTGGTTTCCCCGTTTCTGCCCAGATCCCTCACTCTCACAGGATCGCAAAGAAAGGAAAGACTCAAAGTATCAACGAGAGGAAATCAAGGCTAACGGCTGAGGACGCTGCAGCCCTGCCACGTGGAGGGCGTGCTGCTCTGTGACACTCCCACTGCCAATGCTGTGACGGGACTTTCCCTAATATTGGGCCAGACTATTACCAGCCGAAACTAGTGCTCGTTCTGCTATACAGATGTGAAGAGCCCTCCTACCACCCTCGTCCTTCTGGGGTTAAACCACCTTGGGGAGCAGGTCAGCCTAGAATTTGATTTAATTTCCTGAAGCACCCTGCCTTCCATCCCTCAAGTGCTCAAGTGTCTGGGGCTTCCTTGGCAATTCTGATCTTGCTCACCACAAGGACATCCACCTTGGGAGTCACCAAGCCTAACCCTTCAGGAAAGGACTCCCACCTAGGCCATAGGAAGGCCCCAGGACTTCAGCCTTGGGGACGGACATAAATGCTCTAACCAACTGTCCCGGCGCTATAACCAGTTCTTGCCTATGCCTCCCGCCATGGGCTGGGTGGGAGCCCCGTGGGGGCAGAGCTGGACGGTACACTCTCTGCTCAGGCAGCCTGGGCTCCGTCGGTATCACAGCGGGCCTGGCAGCGTTCCCAGGGTAGCGACACTGGCCCTTTGGGACGTACGTTAATCCCTCAGTTTCACTGCCTTGCTTGTTAAAATGTAAAATGTTTAACAAGGATTTCTAGAAGGGGGTACCCTGGTGAGGCCCCTTATCCTGATTCCCTTAGGAGCCTCAGGGCAACTTCCTGAGTACATGCTGAGTGTGCTCTCAGGAGAGCCCCCAAGCTCACCACTGCCTCTGGTTCCTTCATCTGCTCCAATAATAATGGGAATAAAGGAAATTACAGCGAATCTGCTAAGACAGACTCTGGAAATCTTCATCAGTCACTCACTCAGAGTAAGTGGAATTTTCAGACTGGCCAACAGGGGGTGCTCCAGCGCACCTGTGCCACATTAATATTGGTGTGTTCATCCTAAGTGGTTTCCTCAAGTGTGGGCCATCTGCATCAATCACCTGGGGTGGTTGTGACGCACAGCAGCAACGCATGTCTCCCCCACCCTCACCCCAGACCCACTGAATCAGAAGTTCAGGGTGGGTCCGGGAATCTCCGCCTCTAACAAATACTACACGTGCGTCCTAGGCAGGCTACAGATCGCTGTGGGCATCCTGAGGGCTACAGGAGTGAGTGTCCCTTCTGATGACTAAGGCCTCATCAGTGATAATGACTTTTACTGTGACTTCTTCGCCAGGAAACAGTTTGATCCCTGTCCAGAGCAAATCATTGTCTTCCCAACAAAAAAAATCATTACTGAACTATACAGGTTAACACCTGAGCTATGTGATGTGGCTTTTTCAGGTGTGAATGGTGCTATAATGCTTCTACTTGTCTAAGTCTGTGTTCATTTTCACCCACTGGGTAAGTGTCCAGATTCTCCCTCCCCGCCCTCTACCCGGCCCAGCCAGAGTGTGGATTAGCTACCAAACAATCAGCTGTCAGTACTGATGAAATGACACTATCTAAGAATTTTTTAATACAGAAAATTAAAAACCTAATAAAGTCTGGCTGGGCAAGAAATACTTGAGGCAGGCCTAAGGAAAATTAATCCTAAATAAATTTAAGGAGTTGGGGGCAAGCATTCCTGGGAAGGTAGCTAGACTGGGGGAGGGCATCATAGGCTACAAATGAAAACGGGGTAATTTTTTAAATTCCTCGTCTTCTTTTTCTCTGTGCTTTCCCCAGTGCTCCAGTTTTGCCAGAGGTGGCCTTCTCTGGCAGCAAAGAAAACCTGAATTTAAAGCGTGAAACATGAGGTGCTATGCAGTGCTTATGAGCCACTGAGTGAGAACACCAAGGCCAAAGCAAACGAATTTCTAAAGAGCTTCTCGATACCAAGGAGATGGGCTACATGAAGCCTATAAGGTCTCAGCAGAAAAAAACCAAAATACAGGAAAGGCTGAACACTTGCACGGGGGAGCCACAGCCAATGCGGTGAAATGAGATCACAGATGGCGACACTGAGCGGAAGGATGCAGTACCTCGGAGGCATGTTACTTTAACTGGATCCAGAGGGCGTCTTTCAGGACCTGTCTCTGCTGACTGCACTGACCTTTTCCTTTTCCCAAGGCCGCATGAGTACTTAAGCTCATCGGTTGTGAAAACAAATCTGATGAGGTATCGAAGGAGCCGCCTCCCGTCTTTCTTTGATGAATTTACAGCCTCGTCCCACTGTTTGCTCGTTATGTAGACAGGATAGTTGTTCAATAGCTGCTTGCTTCCCTGGAAATGCGAAATATTTTCTCATTACTTACTTAGCTGGCCGGCCAGAAGCCCAGGCGATCTCCATTTCAAAGGCAAACATGCTTTTTAACCAAGTGGCTATGCTGACAATGAACCAGGTATTGAAGAGCACGAGTAATTGCTCACTCTCAGAACAGGCACTTTTCAAATTACATTTGCATTTTCTATAACAAGAGCCAATGAGGTATAATGAACACCTTTGAAACAGGAGCTATTTATAACTTGCATTTTAACAGGTAGGTTAAAATGTGTCAAGATCCAATGACAGGGAACACTATTTAAATCTAACCGGTAACTTTCCCTTTCAATCTATTAAAATATGCAAAAATGACTTTGAAGAGTGTGATCAAACAGGTCTCTTCATACTTTGGCTGGCGGTTAAGTACTTCTAGAAATGATGCTGGTGGTCTATTTCCATAAGGCATTACTTGTATTTAAATGCACCTAATACCTGATAGCCACTGCATTTCAGTGGGAACAACATTAAAAAGGGGGAATTTCAGAAACAGAAAAAAATAATCACTAATAATAATGCAAAACAAGTTTCCTCAAATTATAGCTTCTGCAAATGCCACTATGTCAACTCAAAATTTTTCTTACTTTTCACCTTCATAATTTATGTCTGCTATAAAATTCCCAGGCTAAATGGCTGCAGTGGGACTAATTACAGGAATTTCTGTAACATTTACAAGCCATGTTTAGTCAACTGCACCTACACAACCATTACTTTAGTTCCAGTTGTCCATAAAATTCTACACTCCAGGACAAATTAATTAACCTGTGATCTCAGTTTTAATGTACTCCTTCCCCAGTAATTAAGGTGTACAAAATAAAGAAGGGAAACTCATTCAGTTTTACAACTCTGTAAATTTACTATAGGTTGTAAACTTGGCACTGTTTGGGTCTGGTAGGTTTTTATTTAAAAAGTGCTCTATTCAGTTAAGCCTTGAGAAGGGCAAACGGTATAGGAGCCGACAGGAAAGACAGAGGCAGCAGGTACGGCTGTGAGACCGTCACCGGATTACACCCATGGAAACTCATCCTCGCCGCGTTCACACTCCTTTGAAGCAGCAGGAGTGTGACTTAGTCTCCTTTTCAAGGCAAGAGGCTGAGGGACATGGTCTGTGGTTTGAATTTATAGTCGGCCTGGGTTTGAACAGAATCTTGGTTCTGGGTCTTCTTAGTTGAGTTTCTTGAGCAAGTTACTTCAACTTGTTGGATCAAAGCTTCCCCAACTATAATAGGGGAAGAACTAAATTATCACGGGTTTAAAATATGAGTATTTGGGAGGATAAACCAAACCCTGGTTCTGTGTACTATGCATGATCAAAAGATGGGCAGGAGCCCAAAAGTTCCAAAGGGCCCCTCACACCAGGCGTTTCAGGGGAGAGATGGAGGGATGACTGGAGTGTGTGGCAGTGCAGATGGAGAATCGAGGGCAAAGATGTAAAACCAAGGGGGTCAGGCAGCCAATCCAGTTAGACAGGGTGTGGGAACTGGGGAGTCAGGATGACTCCCAGGAGAAAGAGGGGTGTCTTTCACAAAGATAAGGAACAGAGGGCTATGGCCGGAGGGAGGAGGAGGCAGAGAGCAAGGAAGAACAGCACCTGACACACAGGAGGTGCGGTGAACACTTGTCAGATGATGCAGCAAACACTCCCGAGCCAGCATGAAGCAGACACTCCGCGCTGTGACTACAAGGAAGAGGTCTTACTTTTTTTTTTAACTGCTGTGACACTGGGACATGTGAAGAGCTCCTACTGAATACGAACTGGCAAAGCTAAAGGACTTTCAGGAGAGCAAGACAAGGGACTTCTAAAAAGGGCCACTGAGGACGGAGACCTTCCACTACCCTTAATGTGAAATCATCCTCTTGGTCATGGTCCCTGTAAGTACACTTGTCAGCTTTAGAAAAGAAGACTGGGTGGCTAGTTTTCAAACCTTATTTAATGCTGCACACTTTTTAAAAACAGCTTTCCCTTGGGGATTCTTGTGGCTGTTTGGCCAAGGAAGTTAAATCCTCTCCCCAGGTCTAACGAGTCAAAAGGCAGAGCTGGGAACCCTGTTCTCGAATTCAGAGTTCACCCCTAAAACCAGAGTTGAGTCTATTTCAAGATGGGAGGTACTTGAGATGAGGGAGCTGGCAATCCAGGGAGGGTGCCTTCTCCAATCTTTAAACAGTCCTTCCTATAGAAGGGCGCAACAGCTCTTCCATAATGTACAAATACCATTTGGAGGTCATTTTCTCCAAAAAAAAAAAAGAAAAATAAGAGAGAAGGTAATTTATTGCCCCAAACAACTCAGATGGCTCTGTGTCATGAACGAGGTTTATCACACAGTTTTAGCACAGCTAAAAGAACTCAAATGTGATAAATAATACTAAAGAGAGGATGCTCGTTTGCCTGAATGACAAAAAAAATAGTAGAGTAATAAAAATGATGATGGGTAAGAGAAGTTTAAAGAGTCCTGTCTGGAATAAATGTCGATATTGCTCCTATTTTATGTTTTTATGGAATTCTGATTGCACAGTCCCTTCAATTAGCCACCAAAAAGTTACTAACTCTGACCTATTATCAAGTCATTTTGAAAAAAAATTGTGAACAGCACTTACTTAATGTCTTCATAGAGTCATAACCAGAAGGAAGATCCAAGTGTGCATTAACTTTTAAGTAACTTCTGAATTAGTCTCATGAACAAAGTGCTCTGAGAGCAATCACGGAGAACTTCTTGGAGGAAGTGGGCTTTTTAGATGTGCTTTTTGTATAACAGAAATGTCAAGTTAACAAATGGGGACCCTATCCTTGGGAGTGATCAAGGAATTTTTAAGTATGCATCATTTGTTTTGGATCTGCATTTCAGAAAAACAACTTTTCAATGTGCAGGACAGAGAAGAAAGAATGTACTGCACCAGTCCAGGTGGGATGTGATGAGAGGGAACTAGAGTCGAGACTATTCAATGTGGCTGTGAAGTGAGTGGATGTCAGGAAGGAGGAAGAGGAAAAGGAAGAGTCCGTGACACCTGGGGAGTTTCCTCCCGGGCTGGTGTTGCATTTAGGGAAGAGGAACCAGGAGTAAGGATGGGTATTTTCAGAGGCGAAAGCGCTGAGTTTGAGGTGCACAGGCACTCCACTTCTGGTCAGGCAGCTGGGCACGAACTTATCTAGAGGTGAGCCTTGGGGACTGGGGTCTAGATCTTGATCTGGGACTTGTTAACCCACACACAGGTGACGTTCAGAGAACACACCTGACCGGAGAAGGCAGCGGAGAGAAGATGGATGGTGCAACTCCAGAGAACAGTGGATGGAACGCTTCTTAAAGCACAGTAAGAAAAGCACGGGGAACCAGAAGAGAGTCCTGACACTAAGGCCCAGAGAAAGAGCACTTGGAGGAGGGGCAAGGCCCTGGGCATGCCGAGGGCTGGAAGACAAGCCTCTGGACTGGATAGCTGGGAAGCGGCTGGGGCTGGGGCTGGGGCTGGGGCGGGACTTGCAGAGCATTCTGCTAATTAGTGGAGGTGGAGCCAGGGCCGGATTACAGGAGGTGGAAGAGTAAATGAACACTGAGAGAGTGGAGAAATGAATGTGGACCAGTCTTTCAAGTGTTTAATCACTGAAAAGAAGGAGGTCACCCTTCAGCAAGTGCCTTCAATGACAGGCACAGGGGATGCCAATCGGGATGAGACCTGGGCCTAACCTTTCAGGGGCGGATGTGTCGTGGTGCAGAACGAAGGTGCTGAGAGAGGGTGCTCTGGGTGACGGAAGGAGAAAGAAAAGACAATCACTGAGGGAGGGAGGGAGAATCAAAGGAGCACTGACTTTCAGGGTGGGAAGACTAGGGTGTGTCTGACACCCAGGGGAACGACCCAACATCGGGGAAGAAATCAGTGCACAAGACAAGGAATAACTGATAGGCACAAAGTCCTAGCAGCGGGAGGGTGGTGCTGGGTGAAAGAACAGCTGTGGACTGGTGGCCCTGGCAGAACTCAGTGGGCTGAGTTCAGCGTGGTATCTCTTACCTCTTTGCTGACTCAAGACAGGGAGGGTGGTGGGACTAGGGAGAGGCTGGGGGCTGGGAGCAAGGAGCAGACCTCTGAAGCAGCTCCTCTAAGTGATGGGGAGGGTTTCACCTGCACTAGACCGTTCTCCTTCGGTCCTCTGGTCTCCTTCGTGTACAGAGAACTGGAGCACAGAGTGTTCTTGTACTTCCTCAGGAGAGGCATGCAGTCAGGGCGGGAACAACAGTGTGCAGTCGGATCTACTAAATGGTAGGCCTGAGGATGGAATTTTAAGATGATTTTAATTAGATACAGGGACTGTCAATGGACATGTGACCACACGATGAGAGAGGGACAGCATCCTATTGTTACCAGCACGAACAACTCACCCTGCCAAGAGAAGAAAACTTGACTACATAAACAGAGCATGACCTGCTGTTATCAACCCAAGGCACTGATTACCCCAGGAAGGGACAGTGCAGTTGCCTCTTCCACTGGATTTAGGTTCTAAACTCCAAAAAATGGAAACAACATATCCTTGAAACCGAGCCTCAAAAATCCTATAAAAATGGACCATGTTTTCACAGATACATCATCAATATCAAAACAGGCCACTTCTCCTACACACTGGAAGACACTGAGGTCTGGAGGAAGAAAACGTCCATGTTGGGGGCCCCACTGTCTGGAAAACACCCATCTGGACACTGGTGAATCTCTGTGTGGGAGATGCCCAGGGCGAGGGGCATTCCGGAACAAGCGCTGGCTTTGCCGGACAGAACGACAGGTTGGTTCTCCCATTTCAGGCCCCTCTGTGCCGAAAGAATGGTGGGAGACTTGCTCACACTATTTGAACTATTTCTTTTTCTCCCCCTTAGAGTACAGAGTTGAATCTTCATGGTGTATGATCTTTCTCTACAGAATATATATAAACTCACCCAGTAACCTCAGGGTTAAACATGTGTTTTGCTAGCCAGTCTGTTCTGGTATATACGTGGGTTAACTATCAAGACGCTTCATCTTAAGGAAGTTCCAAATGGAATAACATTTACGCTTTCAATGGAGACCTACCTCGGTCGGCTGGTCGGTTGGCTGTGGGATCATGAGCTGGTTGTGGTGCTGCAGGACCATCTTCAGGTAATCTAGAACTGTCTGGCAGGGCACTGTGCAGAAGAAATTGCAATGGTTATTATTACGCGTTACCTGCCCTGTGCTGAGAAAGTAAAAAGCCTTAAGGTTTAAAAAGATTTTTGATGTAAACTTCTAAAAAAAAAAAACACGAAAAGATTTATTTTCTAAAGGAAATAGAATCTTCTTTCATTTGACACCCGTAGTCATTTCAGTTTGTAAATATGCAACAAATGCTAGGGTTTGGGGAGAATTTTTAGGCTCAGCACAATTCATTGAAAACTTTCAAGTTAAACGTACTCTAAGAAGAATTTGGGTCAACAATAATGATATCACACTGAACAACCCACAGAAGAGACATGTCCTCTTTGACTCAAGCTTAACATTAGCACCCGATGGTGTTTTTCAAAATTAAAGTACTGAAAACTATTGTTTCACTGGTTTTTAATCAATAGTTAACGTTCATTCCCAGTTCGTCAGGAAGCAGCAAGCCACGCAATTTAGACCTGCTTCCCAACACGGACACACCCGGCCACACAATTTTTCTGTTAAGTGTCCCACTTCTCCTCTCTCTGGAAACTCAACTGGTGTGGGTGGAGCTCAGTGGTAGAGCACATGCTTAGCATGGCACGGTGTCCTGGGTTCAATCCCCAGCACCTCCATTAAAAAGAGAAAAACAGAAACTCAACTGATCTGGTCCAATTCAGATTTGGTTATTATGTATTTCCTTAACTGCTGCACTATTTTTTTTGAGGTACAGTTTTACAGAATCATTGAATAATTACAATAAAACTGAACAGATATTAACCCAACATACAGCCTGACTTTTTTTGCACCATTGCATAAATAATTCTTACATTTTAAGATTTATGTTAGAGCTTTTTCGGGAGTATTAACTAGTTGCTTTTAAAGGTCTTGGTGGCACAGTTAATAACCTACTTGATATAAATTATCATCATTATCTATCTTGGCTGTGTGTTTTCTTAAGATGTTTTTGTCACATTAAAGAAAATAATAAATATTTAACCTAAACTCTAATTTTAAAGTATCACCACTGAACTTTCTTCACTTCATTTTTCTCACCAAATTTTTTTAAGATAGCAAACTAAAGTCATCATCTTTATCCACTGCTAGCAGCTCTTGTTTTTTAGGTGACATCACATTGCAACATAACAAGTCAAAAAGTACATCTACTTCCTTTTGAAGAATATGAATAAGAATTAGTAGAAGTAGGCTAGGAAAATTTTCTTCTTGCCAAAAATTTTTTTTAAATAACGTCTTTATAGACCTGTGTTTAAGGCCACTCTTGTACAGTCATTTGAATACACTGAAGAAGCATTTTCAAGGACAACCACAAAAGTCAACAAAAAGAAGGCAAATATGTATCAGTCTGAAGTAGGACTTTTGTTAAACGAAAGTTTAATAACACCAATCAAGGACCTCTAATTTCACCAGCCTATTAAAGGTCTAACCCACTTTACTGATGACACAGTGAGTGAGAATGAAGCTCCTGGCAATGGGCATTGATTACAGGAAAAAAGCAGAAGACCTGAGAAGCTAATGCAGACAGGAAACAGGTCTGCAGTCAAGGTCTGGCTTTTCACTAACTATGTGGCCTTGGGGACTCTGTTTAACTTCTGTCTAAGTCTCTTCTGCACGCTGCTGAATATGAAGACTCCAGCAGCAGCAATGCAACTGTGGATGTCACTGCTTTGCCAAGTGACATGTGCGAGTCATTACTCTGGATTTAGTTCGGAAGTTTTAGCAAAATGTGTAAATACTCACTGACAGATGAGGATCTAAATGAAACTTCTTTTGATACCTTATTCACATTTTACATACGTTTATGAAAAAATGTGTAAGTGCACCACAAGGACGCTTACAAAACTGAATATTCAGTGTGACCTCAGCCATGTTAAAAATAATTATGTGCATAGAGAAGAGACTGGAAAGAAGTAAATCAAAGTGTTAATAATTAACTATGATTATATTTTGGTAACAGGGTTAGGGCAGTTATTATTAACTGTATCCTTGATCATCCTTGTAAAAACCAGCTTTAATAAGTTTTCATAGTAACTTAAAAGCTGTTTGAAGAACGTCTACATAACTGTTATCTCCCCTTCCTTTGCTGTGTGTGACCTTCAGTGCTGCTGGTTTATCTCTGGAAGGGCTTGGAGACCACTCTCCTATCCCCACACCCCCAATATTTAGGCAGCAGTGTTAAACTATGAGCAAGGCCAGCTGATTCAAACATGCTAGAAGAATATGGAAATTCATGTGCATTTACTGGGTGTAACGGGCTCTAGAAGGCAAGTGTGTCCTGTAGGCTGATATCTGGGCTCTAGGCCGAAGGCCAAGAAGACTGAAGACAAGGCTCATATTCAGTTGTTAAAAAAGCGTATTAGCCACTGCTCTGGGCCCTCTGAGTAACGCCCCTCCCTGCTGAACCCCAGCCCTGATCCTTCCATGGCAGAGGCCTCCAGGCCCCCCTCTAGCCCAGGGTCAGAGTGTGCCCCTGCTGTTAGGGATTTGGAATGACTCTGCTGACTGGGGGTTCTGCAGAACTGCCTAGTACTGACACGGGGAAGTTGAAGAATCAAGTGAAATCTTTTTGGTGAAAAAAAAAATCAAATCAGTTTGGAAAGTGGAGAAAGGAGTGTGTCTATTAAAATGGGGATGAAGGGGGAAAAAACGTATCATCCCAACAGCTACGCCGTGCTGCCTGCCCGGGAGAGAGCAGGGGCAGCGAGAGGGGGATCGTGGCAGACCTCCTCTCCTCTTGCCCGTCTGTTGTGTTCATCTACAGCTCTGCGCACACACTGAGGAATTTCCCAGTAGGACATGGGGCCCTCACTGATGGGGGACATGGGGCCAGGGCTTCATGCAAGAGGCTTGCAGTCCAGGCCAGACTTTGCTCCTTCAGCCTCGAAGGGAAGAGAGAGTGAGGTCAGGGCAGGATCCTCAAGGAGCCAATGATGCCCCAGAGGCCTTCACATCTAACTGTCTCGTCATGCAACTTCTGAATTTTCAGCAAGTCCCTCTTGGTGATGGAGAAGCTACCACCTCAGACCCATGAGGCAGGTTTCCTTTATTCACTTAAGCTTTCTGCAAAAGAAAGTCA